CGAGTTGCAGCAGCTTGCAGTTGCGCCGGGCACCTCAGGCTCCCGTCCATGGCCTCTGCGCAAGACGAGGTACCTAAACGGCGTGATGTTTCTGAGAAGGAGCATCCCAGTTTATCACCGGTGTCGTGCCTTCCCTTCAAATTCGACTTCATAAAGGGAAGGATGGCTCTCAGGGTTCAAGCCACACCTCCACTTACACGAACATGTGGCTGATGTTGAGGGAGCTTCAGTGAGGGGTCGCGATAAGGCACAGGGGAACGAGGCCAATAAGACTATGACGTCGACCTGCCTTTTGAAGAGAGGCACGAAAACACTTTCCTTGTTCCTCTGAGGAAACATGAAATAATTTTTTCATGCTGCCGTCTCGTCAATTGCAAAGCCAATAAAGCGATTGTATTTTCATGACAACGATGTATACTTCATCGTTTTTTCCTATTTCCCTCCTGTTCCTCCATCTGCATGGCGGGGCTACTTGGAAAGTCCCCCACCAAGCATTTGACAACAACCAGTTATCTCATGGTCATCAAGTGCCATTAAGCGCAGAGAATGACGATGATCTGAATATTTATGGCGCTACATCGTTTGCCGGGCTGAGAACTTTTGCCAACTTGCCCTTCGTAGATTGCTTCTCTGACGAGAATGCGGAGGGTCATAAGTATGACATTGCGGTCTTTGGTGCGTCACACGACACGGTAACTGCAGCTCGCTTCTATATACTTTGTAGAGCCATCATTTGACCCCCAGAGTAGACTACCACTGGCCGGCCGGGAGCTCGCTTTGGTCCACCTGCCATTCGAAGCGGCAGTCAAAGAAAGTCGCCGGTAGAATGGAGCGTGTACACGGGTAACTCTTCTGCATTGGCCTCGTATTGATAGCGGTTTTCGTCTGACGAGAAATGTCCACCAGGAAGAAACCCTCTGCAAGACTGGGCGACAATTGTAGACTGCGGCGATGCCCGCCTGACTTGGCTGGACAACACGGCTTCTCTTAAGCTTTTAGACAAAGCCCACACCGTTGAGTGATGTTCTGCTGAGCTATCTCTTGGACCATGAGCTGATGAAGGAGCGAAAGGTCATTTCTGGCAGGCTAGCAGCGAACTCGTCGGTATCAATCACGCCTAGAATACTCACGCTTGGAGGAGACCACACGACGACCCTGTCTGCTTTGCGGTCGACCTACCAGCGATGGGGTCCCGTCTCAGTCATTCACTTTGACAGTCACATCGGTCAGTACTTTCCGTCAGGAGATCTTCGTACCTAGCTTATCATCCAGAAAGACACTTGGGATCCATTGGTCTTGGGTAAGTCATCCACTAAAGATTTCCGATGCTCCCCAAGTTAATACGGATCGCCTTTTCGCGCTTCAGGTGGTGGAATCTCCGACTACGCGTAAGTGAAGACAACAATACACTCACGCTCACTGCCACATTTTGACCGATAATAGAGGCCTCAACCATGGAACATTCCTTCATATTGCCCACGAAGAGGTCTGTCTGGCCAAGCCCGACGGTATTCCCCTCACGAGAAGCTAAATGGCCCAGAATCTGATCTTGAATACCTCGATCCACGCGGGTATCAGAGCCCCGTTGATCCGAAGAAAGGGTGACCTTCGCAATGACGTCCGATGTGGTTTCGAGATTGTCACCGCACGCGACTTGGATAAGCTTGGAGCCAAAGGAGTCATCTCGAAGCTTAAGGAGCGAGTCGGCGACACTCGAGTATACATCAGCGTTGATATTGACGTGCTTGATCCGGCTTTTGCGCCTGGTGAGTAGTTTAGAAAAGGCTGCAGGAAGAAAGCTGACTTTCATAGCAACTGGCACTGCCGAGCCTGGTGGCTGGTCTACGAGGGAGCTTCTTACCATACTCGATGGCCTCGAGGGACTCTCCATTGTGGGTGCTGACGTAGTTGAGGTCGCGCCCGCGTACGATAATAACGGGGAAACCACTGTCCTCGCCGCGGCCGAGATTGCTTATTCATTGATCGATCTTATGGTTGTCAAGCCTGTCCAGTAAATGTTCAATGCTGGTAGAACCATCTTTGGTGAAATGAGACGAGGCATTGGGTTTGGTTGAAAAATTCTGATCTAAGTCTGGAAGCCGGTCAGGGAAGGCACGATGGGGAGGAAACTGAAAGGGGAAGTCGCGTTGTCTGCGAGTCAAAGTGATCGATCAAATTCAGTTCTCTCACTGTGTAAGAGATATTACTGTAAATATGCTACGTGCATTGTGAGAAAGACTCGATGACTTGAGAACAATCAGACAATGATGGGAGACAATGCCTTTGATGAAATCCCACAACTTGTGTTGAATCTTTACCGCCGGCGAAATAAAAATAGGCCTTTGTGTCCTTTGACTGTGGTGAAGAAACAACTCGGGGACCCTTTGAAGAATATGTTTGGAAACCCTGAACAAGTGGACGCCTGGTCAGGCCGGGTGGTGAGGCGCCTTCTTCAAATACCCGTCTGGTCGAGTCCCGTCTCCTTTCTGTTGGCTCGTAACTTTCTCGCTCACCACACACACACACACTCACCCGCGCAAACCCACATACACACACACACTTACATACACACACTTACACAGCAATCACCCCAAACTCAGATTCCACATCGTCCTTTTCTCTACTTCACATCTCCTCCAAATCATCTCACTCAAACTCAAACTCATCCTTCCCACATTATGGCGAGTTCATCATATATCGCGCCTGAAGCCAACATGGCGCCGAGCTCCTCCTCGGAAACTGGTTTTTCAGGAGGAAGGAACGCCCTCGCTGGCCCAACTGGAGAGAATTTCAGCCAGTATCAGATTCAAATCTCCCGAAGCCCAAGCACGGAGTATGATCCGACCGGAGATGGGATCGTGGAATATTCACCTTCAGAGGACGAAGAGGAGGAAGACGACATCGACTCCTCATTCTTGTACCAAGAAAGAAGGGTTGCTGCCAGCCCATCTCCAGCAGAAAGCACACCCCCGACTGAGTACGCCGCTTCATCCAAATCCAAGACTCCAGTCAAGAAGACTCCCCTCAAGAAGACTCCCATAAAGGAGATTTCCATCAAGAGTACTCCGCCCAGCTCGCCTCCTACCAAGGTGAAGCTCGAACTCAAGGGAACGCCCCCGGCCCAAGCCCAACAATCCAAGAAGCGATATCTCACGGCCTCACCCCATAGGTCCCTCAAGAGTACATCATCAAAGCCAATCCTGGTAGACTTCCACCCTCGCAACTCCAGCCTCGAGCAGATCCAGGCCCTCAGAGCGCGCCTCGACATGGGCGAGGAACTCGTCTACAAGACCCAGGTAAGCCTCCTCCAGTGGCAAAACAACATCGAAGCCCAAGTCAAGGACCTAAAGGAAGAAATCCGCGAAACTAACATCGAGACGAAGAAGCGCCAGGACAAGCTCCAAGACCAGCAGGACCAGCTCGAGGAAAAACAAGAGGTGACCGACTCCCGCAGCGCCAGAAACGAGCGCCGCCTCGCAGAGGTCGAGATCACCATCGAGGACGTCATCGGGAAGCCTCCCAACCTGCCCGGCCTCTTCCCGCCTGGACACTCGTCGTACTTTAGTGGACCGACGAGTCCCAGCCGTCTCCCCGGAGCCTGGGGCCCCCGAAGCAGCCGCAGCTCGCGCACGTCGCGTACGGGCTCGGCGGCTCCTCTTCCCAGCATCGAGATAAGCGATGCGGTGAAGAGTATCAAGCCAACCTTGGGCGGTCGCTCCAGCTACTCAGTGGATACTGCCTCTCCCCCGGATATGTCCCCTTCAATTGGTTCCAAGAGAAAGTCTGAGGCCTTGGAGTCTGACGAGAAGGACGCCGAGGTCAGGGGAGCGAAGAAGCAGAAGAAGACGGCTAGCAAGGCCAAAAAGCAGCCGGCGAAGAAGAATACCGCCAACACAACCAAGGCCGCACCCAAGAAGACTACCACTTCGCCGCAGTCACAGAAGCGCAAGGCGGAGGAGGATCTCGAAGCGTGCGGCAAAGACACCGGAAAGAAGGACTCAGGCGATGAGGACACCCAATCTCCTGACAAGAGGCCAGCCGAGATGACTGCAAACGCTCCGCTTTACGGCGGCTGCGAGCCCATGAGCCCTTCCCCCCTTCCCAAGGAGACAGATACTGCGCCCAAGGGCCATAAGCGCAAAGCAGAAGAGGAGGTCGAAGATGACGGCAAAGGTGAGGGAAAGAAGAACCGAGACAATGAATCTAGAAAGAGGCCCATCAAGAAGGTCAAGACGGTCAAGAAGTCCGGAACCGAGCCCAAACAGGCTGTTACCACACCCAAGAAGACAGATTCAGTGCCCAAGGGTCAGAAGCGCAAGGCAGAAGAGGAAGTCGAAGAGGGCAGCAAAGATGAAGGAGAGAAGAATCAAGACGACTCGTCTGACAAGAGGCCCAACAAGAAGGTCAAGACGGCCAGGAAGTCCGACACCAAGCCCCAACAGACTGCCTCCACATCCAAGAAGACGACTACCAAGCCCAAGGGCTCGAAGAGCAAAGTAGAGAAGCCCCCCAAAGAGAACGATGGGAAGACGACGAGGGGGGATGCCAAGGAGGATATCAAGGAGGTAGAGGAGAAGCCTGTCAAAGCTCCGAGGAAGAGAACTGCCAAATCAGTCAAGCCGGCAGTGCCGGGAACCAGAACTGGCCTTCGCAGTCAGAAGAAGGAGGCTGCTCCCGCTTAGGGCGCCCGGTCCGGGGTTCTAGATTATACTATATCAGTTCGCGCCATTCTTCTTGTTGCAGAGGTCCACAGAACATTTTCAGTCAGCCGGCGTAGGTTAAGGACATTGGAATATCAGGAAGGCTGCCATCATTCTCATTGGTATTCGAGAGTGTTGGCCTCATGGATATCTGGGACTTCAGGTTAGAAGGAAGGAGGCATCATAAATTTCAAATTTCGGGACAAAATACACGAGTTGTCAAACATTGGTGACTAGCAACCTTGTGATGAATGTATCGATGATGATAAGCCAAAGTCGCTTCCATATGACCATTCTAATCTACATCAGCTTGCCCTTCATGCCTAGAGAAGCCAAGTATATCCCCAAAATATCTCAGCAAAACGCTCCAGACCCCTCCATCAGCACCAGACCCCAAGAAACCCCCAGTGTCTTCGCATCTATCGCTTAACAATCCCCAAAGGCCCTTAACATGAGCCGTCCCTCTCACGTACGCCATGGCGAATACGGCCCGGGAATGCCCTCTTCCTTCCACGAAAGGCAATCCCCATAGCCCCTTTCTCCCTGCCTCCCTCGATTCCGTCCTCGAAATCCCCATCCTCATCGCAAACAGATCGAAAAGAATCCTCGGCACAGGCGGATCAACCAACGGAACCACTCTCGCTCTTCTCTTGGCTCCATACCCAACAACACCCCTCCAGTCCCCCCTCCCCCTTCTCCGCGCACCGCTCTTCCCCATCCCCGTCCCCACCGCCTTCGCTTGCCTCCTGGACGTGATGAACCTCTGCTCCTCCCACCGCGCCCCCTCAACAACACAATAGCTCCCGCTCTCCATCTCACCCTCGTCCCACCCCTCCACCGTCTCCTCGCCCCATCTAGACCTCATCATCGACGACGTCACCGCAGCCACCGACGACCTTCCCTCCTGATCCCATCGCCCAACGGTCCTCGGACGTCTAGGATAAGGCGGCCTCGGCCTCCTCCGCCTCCTGACGTCCAGCCACCCGTCCCCGGCGTCCTTCTCCCCGCTGCCGAGTCCGTCTCTGCGGGAACGTTCGTGAGTGGTGGTATACGTCGTCGCGCACGTCGAGGAAGTATACGTCGACATCCACGACGGGGAGTTGGTATACACCGCTGCGAAACTCGGGCCTCCGGGGGGAACGGTAAGTGTGCTTTTCTGTGTTGTTGCGGTGTCTGCTGGGGCGTCGTCTGGTGGTTGTTGGAGGATGACTTCTGGGATTGCGTCTTGCGCCATCCTAAGAAAGTTTGGTGGTGGTGTTGGTGAGGGATGAAGGTAATGTGATGGATTGAAAGAAGAAGAGGAGGAGGAGGAAGATGATGAAGATGGAGACGGTGAGCGATCTGGGAAGCATGCGATTTCGAGAGACGATTTCCTCGTTCGCCGAGGACGAGTGTGAGGACCTGGCTGGTGTTGAAGCTGAAGCTGTCGCTGTCGCTCGCGGCATCGTTTACATGATGAGCGTTTCTTGCGTCTGCATTTCTCGCAGGGAACCTTGGTGTCTGGTGAGCAAGCGTTGACATCCTTGTCTGCTTCCTCTTCCTCTACGCTCTCCGTTTCCTCGGCGTCTTCTGCGCCGGGGGAGATATCCCAATAAACTGAATCCATCTTCCCTCGCCCTGGTGATTCCGTGAAATCGGGATGAAATTGCTTGTTTTTGCTGAAGCTCTCTCAATTGAATTGATCAAAGACCAGTATCATCCCACAGCAGACGTTGAAGTAAAAGAGACCATGTGATGTCTGGAATTCTCTCCACCCCCTCCGTCACCGTACGATGATACGATGTTACGATATCATCCCAAAGCAGTGAGACACGCATGCATACGGTACATAAACGTTGGGGTAACAAGGCCGCATCGGAACGCGGCCGGCCGCGTCTGACACACATACAACGTTGTCCGATTCCGGCCATCACCCCTCTCCCCAAAACTCCCCGAAACTCCCGTGTGTCTCTATCTCTCTCCTGAATTAGCGGGGGAATTTTTCTTAGTAAGAAGCGTGCGCCGCGCGTGTAGGCGAGGTTCTAACTGTTTAGTAGCTGAGCCGTCGAACTTGCGCGCACTAAGATAAGGGACGAGTAGTTGGAATATGGGCGGTCTTTTCCCCGTGTGAATACGAGACATGTGATTGAGGTAGACAGATTGCTGCTCGTATTTGGTGTACATTTGTCATAGGTGAGCTGCGATGGTGAAGGTATCGCAATCTCTCCAGCCCAGGTGTGCAGTGCAGTATGAAGCACTGCCGTGTGATACATCACCAAGACAATAAATGATCAACCTCATAGCATTGACTATTACGTATATCCACGTCTCCGCATTTCAATGGAGGAAAAATAAAAAGAAGACCCCTTCCTTTGGAGAATCAAAAGAAAAGGAAGGAAATATGAGGGGATAACATACTAAAGAGCTCACGCCCCTGCCCGGACTTGAATAGCGCGCCCCTCAGTCAACCCGGACTCCGACTTCATGGGAGTATTTTATTTTATTTATTTTAACCAATTCGACCACCTCGCACGCAGCTCGACCTAAACTCGCCGACCTAGCCGAGCGCTGCTGTGCTGGCGTGAGGAATGGGTTTGAGGGAGGTATATAGCCATGGGTGCCCAAGGGAGGAAGGAGGAAAGCGATGTCGAGGTGGGATAGAGCTACCTTGATTCGAAAAAGAAACAACCAAAAGCTGCTGGGATCGATGAGCGTTGGTGTGAACGGTGTACGTTCCAATACCAAACGAAACAGATCAAGGTTATCAAGATTGGCATTGTGAGTGATGAGACAAGTAACGGGCGATATCATTTTGATCCCCTCCCAACGCCGAGCAATGCCTACGATACAATACAAAGACCTTTCTCTCATCTAGACACAGACTGATGATATCTTCTCCTGAAGAATACGCACCTCCCTTAATCCCAATACCGAATATCCCCCTCCGCCCCAGCCGAAACAAACTTGCTCGTCTCCTGCGGATGCCACGCGACACACGTGACAGCCTGATCTCCCGCCTTGAGCTTATGATACATCTTACATGTCTTCCAGTCCCAGAAGCACACGAACCCCTGCGTATAGCCGCTCGCCAAAAACTGCCCGTCGGGGCTGACGCTGACGTCGATGGCCGTGCCGGCGTTGTTGTGGCCCCGGTACGACTTTTTGCGGTTTTGCCGGAACTTGTCGTTGGCGCCATACACAACAATCTGGTTGTCCGACGACTGGAAGGCGACGTATTTCCCGCTCGGGTGCGGCGCTGCGCGCGTCATTGGGTACATGTAGGGCTCGGCGATGTACTTGATCGGGACTGGGATGTTGTAGTCCCAGGCGCGGAGGGACTTGTCGTCTGATGTCGTCATGAAGCGGCGGCCTTCGTCGACGAATGTGATTGTGTTGATGGCGGCGAGATGGTGGTCTTGCAAGTGTTAATACATCATATTTACTCTCCGATGAAAAGGGGAAAGACCAAGGGGACTCACCATATTCTTGCACAATCTCGTTGCCGGCGCGCGTATCCCACTGCACAATCTTCTTGTCCGACATACCCGCCACAAACTCGTGAGCGTGCTCCGCCGACGGGTTAAACCGCACCACATGCGGCGTCTTGCCCGTCGAGAACCGGCTCAGACACGTGCCCGTTTCCGTGTCCCACAGCTTAATCTGCCGATCAAAGCTCGCCGACAAGAAGCGCGTGCCGTCGTTGTTGAACGTCGCGTCCGACACCGCCTTGGCGTGGCCCGAAAACGTCCGCAGCAGCGACCGCTCGTGATACACGTCCCAAATCTTGACCGTGCTGTCCGCCGAGGCAGACAACAACAAGTGTCCTGACCCGGGGAAGAACCGCAGCGCCGTGACGGCTTTCGTGTGGTCCTTCCACGCGTGGATCTGCTTCTTGGGGATGTAATTCGTCACGCTGCCGGCCTCCTTGCGCAGGTCGACGTCGAGGTCCTGCGGGACGTGCATGTACGTCCGGCCCTGGTAATCCGTCTCCTCGGCGCCGTGGAACGTTGTCGTCTCCTCGCCCATGGCCTCCACCTCCTTCCTCCGCGCCAGCGCCGCCTCGGGCGCGCGCAGCACCGTCCCACTCTCCACCACGTCGTTGTCCTCGCCATCGTCCGTTACCTCCTCGTACTCCTCGTCGCTGGCCAGCGCCTCGCCCTCGCCGACGACTTCGTACTCTTCGCGACGGTACCGCGCCCAGGGGCCCAGGTACGCACCGTCACCTTCAACGATCGTCGCGTCGCCTTTACCCTCGCGACCGGACCGTATCCGCGCGTTCTCTTCTTTCACGGCCGCGCCCGTCTGGTACTCTCGTTCGGGCCCGCCTTTCCGCTCGACGGCGCGGTGTTTGCTGCGGAAGGTGTGTTCTGAAATGTACGTCTCCTCCGCCCGGCCGGTGAGAACGTTCTTGCGCTTCAGCGTCATGGCGGATTCGTCTTTAAAGGGGTTCGCGGGGCCGACGCGCGGTCGGGCGAGGTCTTCGCCGGTGTAGGGGACGACTGCGTGATCGGGCTCGGCTTCTTGCCGCACGACGAGCGCATCCTGGGGCGCCATGTTGGGCGGGTAGTCTCCGAAGCCCGACATCTTGGGTGCTGTCGTCTCGTCCGTCGCGAGAGATTTGAACAGTGAGTGAGTGGGTTTTGTTGGTGTCGCAGAATCGCAATGTTTGGTCGCAACTGGCCGCTGGTGTTCCTGGTCGTGGCAGCAAAAAGTTGGTGTCACGTGATCTGATGTCAGGATTTGAATTTGGGGAGCTACCCTTGGGATCTGCGGTTTCCGACCTCGAAGCTCAGGTTCAAGGCGCAAACAGGCGCACGGAAAGCTTGGGCAGCTTTGGGTACCACATACACACCAAACTCACACTCAAGGGTCTCTGAAAGTAAGGTAACAGCCGCGTTGAAAAAGTTTAGTTTGGAGCAGCAAGGCAACAAGCTTCAAAGAAAGAGACATTCAGAAGATCTGTCATTACTCAATTATCGCAACCCGCCGCTCCCAGGACCAGCCGGCCTGGTAACAACATAAAGTAAACAGCTAGGTATTTGGTCTTTCGCATCGTAACCCGTCTCCCGCCCGTTTCGTTCCTTCATGCCCTCCTCCACCATGTGCTTGTGTGTCGTATTCCGTTTTCTCTTTCCCATTCATCATCATCAGAATCCAAGCAGAGACACCTATCTCTGCCCGTAACTCCGGGACACCATATCTGTCAGCTGTCGTTTCTCCTTTTGACACCCCGCATTGCTGGTATCATGACTCCCCTCCATGTCTAGCGGTTGCCCGCCCGAAACCTCTCCCTCCCTCTTGAATAGTAGCTCCGGATGGTGCATCGTTTTAGAGGATGGCAGCGCATCGGCGTGTACGTTTGGTTGGTTCTTGTCCACGTGGCATGGTCTCTATATACTGGAATCCGTCCTGTGTGTTGTGCACAGGGCAGGGTTCACCGTTTAAGAAGACTCGTCGCGGATGAGGGCGACAATCATGCTGTAGAGGTAGAAGAAGAACATGATCAGGTGGAAGCCGAGCTTCACAAATGATTCCTGCGCGAGTTTGTCAGACACGAGCTAGCTAGAGCTAAGGCGTGTTGCGGCTCTTACCTTCTTGTGGACATTCAGCTTGCGGAAGATCTCGGTAGCATCCAACAAGTGGGTGTTGTCGACAATCCTAGGGTCAAGTCAGCTTTCTCGAGTTCTGCCACCACCAGGCGAGTCACAGGGGGGGAACATACTTCTTGACATTGTAGGCTACGAGCGGCAGGTTCAGGATCAAAGGTACCCAGTATCCATTGATCAGGAACATAAAGGTCAGGAATCCATGGACGGCAGCTTCGGGGATGATGTAGGTGTTGAGGCGGTTGCAGAGGTCAATGGGGTTGATGTAGTCGCTGTAAAAGTAGGCATGTTAGCATACAATTGCAAGAGATCATGGGATGACAGCTATATCGCGTCCGCCCGCTCCGCAGCATGCAGCACGGTCTAGCCTCGAGCTCGTCTGAGCACGGAAGAAAGAAGCTGGCGTGCGCCGTGCAGCATGCCGCAGCAGCAGCAGCAGCAGCGAGGCGGGAAGGAGATGGGTGGATAAGACGAGGGATAACGTACCATTCCAGATCGCTGTACATGATGGTGAAGAAGACTTGAAGGAAGAGGTTGACGGCATTTATCAGCACCGCGAAGAGGTATAACCACGCTTCGCCGGACATCTTGACGGAAAGTTGGCAGCGTGCTGCGCTAGTTGAATACGTTTAGATGGAAAGGGAGGATA